CATCACGATCGTGAATTCTGTGTTGTCTAGCTTACCCGTGTTCTTAATGTCGGTCTACCTGCTTCCTAAAGGTATTATTCATTTTATTGATAAAATTCGCAAAAGTTTTTTATGGGGTGGGGAAGGAGAAGGTTGAAAAATTAATTGGGTTAAATGGGAGAAAGTTTGCAAAAATAAGCTTTGTGGGGGATTAGGAGTGAGAGAGATGAGGAAGTTCAACTTAGCCTTAATGGGGAAATGGTGGGGGAGGCTAGCAAGAAATGAACAGGGTTTGTGGGATAAGATTATAGCTAGCAAGTATGGAGGGAGTGGAGGCCATTGGCTTGATTGGGTAAGGGATGGGAGGGGAATAGGATCACTATGGTGGAGGGATGTGGGGTGTCTCAACAATGTCGATGAGGAGAAAGAAGGGTGGCTAACAGAGGGTTTTAAGCTAAAATTAGGAGAAGGGAAATGAGTGAGCTTTTGGAGAGATAATTAGGGTGGGGAGGGAGATCTTGCTAACCTTTATCCAAGATTGTATAATTTGTCAACAGGAAAGGAGAAAAAATGTTGTCAAATGGGCAATGAGGAAGATGGAATATGGAGGTGGAATCTAGAGTGGAGGAGAGCTTTGTTCGACTGGGAAAGGGAAGAAGCAGCAGAACTACAACAAAAGATTGATAGCATGCGGATACACAAAGACATCCCCGACACATGGAAGTGGGAGCATAGCAAGGAAGGCAACTACTCAACTAAATCAGCTTACAAACCGTTGACAAATGAATTTAATGGACTGGATGCAGCTCCAATACACAAGAGAGTGTGGAACCCAATCATCCCAAGCAAAATTTCTGCTTTTAACTGGCAGCTACTGCAAGATAGAATACCAACAAAGAGCAACCTGCAAAGAAGAGGAATAACTACTGAATTGGATGATGGAATCTGCGCTTTATGTGAGGAGGAGGTCGAGGACTCGAATCATCTTTTCCTGAGGTGCAAGGTGGCAAAGTGGCTATGGAAGGCTTGTGGGAAATGGTGGGGAACCTCTGTTAATTTGGAAAATGATTGCTGGAAAACTTTTGAGCAATTTGGGGCATGGGCCAAAGAAAAACGAGTAAAGGAAGGCTGGGATTGTATATGGAACGTTGTGGTGTGGACCATATGGCTCGCAAGAAAACAAAAGATATTCCGAGAAACCGACACCAACAAAAGTAAGTTGCTTGACCACATTCAACTAAAATCATTTTGGTGGATTAAAACAAGGAAATCTAGCTGCTTGTTTACTCTTTATGATTGGTTATACAATCCAATGTCATGCCTCAAAGTTAACTGTGGTAGGAAGTAGGAAATAGGGACCTAAACCATACTTGGCCGAAATGGTCAATATGGTAGGTGGGATGGACTGATCCTCAGCAGGTGGATGTACTGGTAGCATTGAGCAACTTATTGACTCTTGTTGGTTATTAGACAGAGTCAGTAGATGCTCAATATGTACCTATTTTTGTAGCATGGGCAGGAGTACCCCTTGTACTCTATATAATAAACTATATTTGCTGTGCAAAAAAAAAATCTTGAAAATGGAAAGAATATCGTCGATGGAAAGAACAGAAATAGTAATCAATGGACAGAAGCAATTCTTCGTCGATGGAAAGAACAGAAACAGTAATCAATGGACAGAAGCAATTCGTAGTGGTGATGTGTGGGACCCACTTGAACGGATTTGGCTTTTTTACCCACGGTAGCATGACATGGCAAAAGTTTTTGTGCACGTCATCACTTTATTAAATTTTGCCCTCCACATCATCAAAAAAAATATAAAAAATGCCACGTAAGCAGAGTTAACGGTCCAATTTAACAGAAGGACTAACGAAGTGCATTTCGTACAGTTGAGGGATCAAAAAAGTGCAAAAAATTGTTAAGGGACCAAAAATGTGCAATTCACTAAAGTTGAGGGACCAAATTTAGCATTTAACCTTTGAATAAAGTTGTTCCCTGCTTAGCTTTGCCGGTAGGCAGGCAATTCCACTAACATTTTTTAAAAGAGAAAGGATCCGTTCGATTTCAGTTTTTAAGTATTTTAGTATTTTTTTA